TTTGCTTTAGGCTTTTAATGGAAAAAAGTTAGTTACTATTATCAAACTCACAACTTTATGACAGTACAACCACAGCATTCGGCACACTGCAATCACTATTATCAACATGATTATAACTGACAACACACTTTAACTTGATATTGAATGAGGATTATTGGTTGTACTTTTCCCCATGTGTGGAAACTAATCATCTTGATATACTTAAGCCGGGGATGGAAATTCTAATCTCTACATTTATACTTAATTAAACAATATAAACATGGTCAAGGGCTTGAGAATGTACACACTCAGTAATTTTTCTTTTAGGAATTTATTTGAAGGGATTAAGGATGAAAAGTTTAATTATAGAACTGTTTATAAAAACAAAATATCATAAATCTGAACGTCCAATAAGAGATGGATGAAATTAACCTAATGATTATACAAACACTGAAACTGATGTTACAAAAGAAATATATATACTTTTTAACATAGAAAGAGGTTACCAAACAGAATATGGAAACACAGAAAATCATCTGGAATTTTTATTTCTAGTGGAGAAATTATAATTTTTAATTTCATATTTTAATGTACTGGTATTTTTTTACAATGAGCAGGTACTACTTATATAATAATCTTTAAAAACAAATTTTCAGAAAAATTATTTTTCTCTGTTCTATTTATGAACAATGTTAGTTTCTTTCCCCTTCTTCAACTCAAATGGGAGATGATAGGCAAGTCAAACACTCCAGATTCTTTTTTTTTTTTGAGACAGAGTCTTACTATGTCACCCTCATATCACAGCTCATAGTAACTTTAAACTATTGGGCTCAAGTGATTCTCTTGCCTCAGCCTCCCTACTAGCTGAGACTACAGGTGCCCACCACAACACCCAGCTTTTTTTTTTTTTGGTTTGCAGGCTGGGGCCAGGTTCAAACCTATCAGCCCTAGTGCATGTGGCCAGCACCCTAACCACTGAGCTACAGGTGCCAAGCCACAGATTCTTCTTCGAATATGAATGAATAGGTTAAATTATTTGTCTGCAGACCTTAATCAAGGGCCAAAACATAGTACTTCTTTTCCATTAAATTGTCCTTCTTGATTTAAACAGGGATTCCATCACATATATGTAATCAAGTTATGTTAAACAATGAAACAAATGTGAAAAAATATGGATGCTGAAACTAAGTAAATTGAATATTTCTTTCCTCTTTTCACAGGATCCTTTTGGAACATATTTGCATTTTAGAAAAATATCTGTGGTACTACTTTGATGTAAGCAACTGGAATACGTAAAATATATTTTGCAAAGCTAGTTTATATGGATTACTAAATACAGTGGTATATTAGAAAAGTTTAGGGTTCTCCAATAGTTTTATTGCTTTTTGCATGACAGGCAGTCAATAAATGGATAATGTCTTGGAACCAGCAAGGGCTATGTTTTCCCTCAATAATTGGACCCATATAGCAATTACACCACACAAAAACACCAAACTATCACAAAGAACTTTTGCTCAGTAACAACAAAAGATTTACACTCTGAGGTAAATGAGTGCACAGTCACGGAGAGAAGAGCAGAATTGCTAATGCAAGCCAAGTTAAGAATATGATCCGTCTGCTTTAGGAACGTTCTAGTTTAGATTAAGATTATTAAATCTAGATATTACTACTGGCTTTCTTCCACACAAATCAGAAACACCACATGAAATCTCAGCTACAAAGAATCAGCAAATATGCATACATGCCTAAGAATGATAACAAAGAGAGAGACTTCTAGATGACTCTAGCAGCCTAATTTTAAAGAACTGTGTTAGTCTGGCTCTTAGTCATGGTACTATTAACAAGATTTTTGAGCCTGGATATAGAGCTTTCTTACAGTTCTAGTTTGTTATCTTTTAGGATAAGGCTTTAATGACCAGGAGAATGGTCACTTGATTTTTCACTTTTTCTCTGTAGGCAGAGTCACTAAAAGCAAAGACGGGCTCCATTAACCCTTACTCTGTGGAAGAGGAGTGGAATTTCCTGGTCCTTTACTGGCAGAAGCCTGTATTTGTTGTGGCTGAAAAAGCAAATCTTGTAGAAATGAATTCATAAACAGTTCACAATGACCACTTTAGCCTCTCCTTGTACACAAAAGCCAGAAAAAGATGTAATAAGTAGAAGCAATACTTCAAGAAGTACTATGTGGATTACCTGATTTATGTCCATGTTTTAAAATACAAATAACCAAAATTTCAATAGAATATAATATGTACGTTTAAAATAGGTCATATAAAACCTCCAGGAATTAGAGGTCAGATTGAAGCACAGACTGCATCACAGAAGGTATTCTTTTTTTTTTTTTTTTTTTTTTGATACAATGTCTCACTATGTGGCCGGCCCTGCGTCACAGCTCACAGCAACCTCAACCTCTTGGGCTTAAGTGATTCTCTTGCCTCAGTCTCCCAAGTAGCTGGGACTACAGGAGTCCCCCCACAACGCCCAGCTATTTTTTTGTTATTGTCATTGTTGTTTTAGCAGGTCCGGGCTGAGTTTGGAACCACCAGCCCTGGTGTACGTGGCTGGTGCCCTAACCACTGAACTACGGTGTCAACCTGCAGAAGGTACTCTTCAACACCTTTAGATATTTTAAACTACCTATAGAATCGTAGTAATTTAGGTATTCAAAGACCATTTAATATTGATCTTGGTTGAGATTAGTCAGAAAGGTCACGTTAATAACGTTTAATTGCTTTCTCATCAAACATAATACATGAACAGTTGGGTTCCTCATAAAATTACCGGTAACAGGAGCCTACAGTAGAAAGCTAGTTTTTCACATGCCCGTATTACTTTAGCATATTCTTTGCCAACAAACTTCTCAAACCAGAGAAACAACAGAGCATGTGGAAACATGTTTCCATGACACAACGCCACTCCTCCTAAGTCTTTCATCAAGTGTTCATAATAGAATCACTGCACAATCATGTTCATACAGGACAATCGCCTCCAATTCTCCAACAATTCACTGTATTTCTTACAGTATGCTTTACTTTCCACTAACTGACGTAAATTATTGACAATACACAAGGCCCATGACTCCCATCCCGGCATCTCTCCCTAAAAATACACTATTAGGCTATACTCCTGGAGACCGGTTCAATTATCTCCAATGCTCAAGGACACTGGGTTTTGGAAAACCCCACGCACCTCACTTTCCCCATCCTTAAAAAAAAAAAAAAAAAGCCTTTCAGACCAGATGAATGTGCAATTCATCTTCTGATGAATAAAATCTAAGCTTTGACTTCTTTTTTAAGAGGAAATCTGCACCCACAGAGATGGGGAAAGAAGAGCAGGATGGCAAACTTCACTCAGGTTGCCTGCGGCCGGTGATCCCACGCAAAGCCTAGGCAACCGGAGATCTCTCTCAGTTGATCCGGACGCCAAAGCGTTGCCACACCAACCCCTTCTCCGCAACCAAAAGCAGAGGCTATAGGAATGGGGGCAGGGGCGTTGGGACGAAGGTGTGTGTGGGTACAGAAAATAGAGATGTACAAACTAGGGAAGTCCCTCGTACTTCAATGAAAAGGAGCTATCAGGGCAAGGAGGTCCGACCGCCAGCCGGGCCGCCACCCCGCCGTCTCTAGGGATTGCAGCTAACTGGCTGCACCTGCCGTCTTGGGGTTCGGCGCGCATCAGCAGGGGAATCCGAGCAGGTAGGAAAAATGTAAGAGGGGAGAAAATATTTCTTAGGGTCTGGGTTTTGACCAGAAAAGACACTTACGGGGTACACCTGTCGCTGTACTCGTTGGCGATGGTCTCAATGCCGCCACTCCTCGCTACTGCGATGTAGCAGTTGAGAAAGCCGAGGTCAATGCCAACCACGGACATCCTGCTGCGAAAAGGTCGGGGTGCTGGTGCTGAAGCCTCGGCTGCGGGGACTGCGTCCTTTGCTGAGCTACTGCTGCTGAGATTGCGACTCCTACGAGAAGCAAAGGAGAGATGACTCCCCAGTCACTATGCAGAATATCTAGGGCAGAACGTCGGGAAACCGCGGAGAGAGCACAGGCCGTCCTCGCCACAGCCTGCGCCGGGTCCCGCCGCCGCGGTCTCTCTCCACTGCGGTTCGGCCGCCTCTAACGGGCAGTTACAGTGGTCTGCGCCTGCGCGCTCGGCAGCCGGGTTGGCTCGAGACCCTCCCCTCCCCGCCCGAGGCAGCTCCGGGCCTTGGCTTCGGCAGCTTCCGTCAGCACTCGGGCAACGGCCGCCCGAGTAGCTGCGGGTTCGAGAAAGATCTGGAAGATGGAGGCTGCTGAGCTAGCCGAGAGAGGGAGGGAGGGAGGGAGGGGAAGGCGGGCGGGGAGGATCAGGAGGTTAGGAGGAGGGGAAGCGGAGTTAGTTCGCTTGCCACCTCGCGGCAGCCGGGCGTCCTAGGGTTGGGCCGGCTGAGAGGCGGCCGGGGCCGCCGTTTGCAAACGTGTTGGAGGCGCTCTTTGGGGTTGTTTGTACAAGTAGGGCGCGCCTGTCACGGCGGCAGGGTGCTGCTGCGGCCTACCCGAAGGCGGGCGCCCC